GGTGTAGGCAAGTAACTAACTACCAAAGATAAATGGGTGAGGTCGAGCAAAATCCGTTGGATGCCACCGGTCCAGTGGTCCGATGGTTAGGCATTCGTGCACAACACTGAAGGGTTCGGATCCTACGAGTTGGTGCAGGAGTCGTGGATGCGCACTATCACTGCTGATAAGTTGTTCCATACCAGAGGATGAAACGGCCGTCCTGTTGTGCTTTCAGGTTTCTAGTGGTCGTCTAAAGTAGTGACTAGCTTCGTGAGGAATCTTCTCGGAGTTCTAGGGTGAGAAGACGTGCCCTAGTGGAGGAGTTCAACTCTTTCGGGTGTAGGCAAGTAACTACCAAAGACAAATGGGTCAGAGCTAGACATTAACACTGTTGGATGCCGGCTCAGTAGTCCGATGGTTAGGCGTTCGTGCACAACAACCGAGGGTCCCGGGTTCGAATCCTGTGAGGCACAGGATGCAGTGGATGCGCACTGCCACTGATGCGTTGTTCCATACCAGGACTTGACCGTCGTCCTGCAGTGCTTCCAGATTTCTAATGTGGCGGTCTAATAATGATTGATTGATGATCTCAAATGCGTAAAAAACACAAGCCTCCAAAACTCTGCCTGAAAATAATTTGATGAGTTTTGTGTTGTTTCCTCAAGGAGTATGATTCAATCAGTTAGATGCAACGTAGAACTTCGTACATACGTTCGTACGTACGTATATGCATCAGTTCATGTTGCCATACCATATTAGTACACAGAGGGATGTAATTGTCAATTCAAATCTCTCAAAGCAGTAGTCGGAGAGGTTAGGATTAGAAAATATTATTCAAGAAGTATAATTCAGTGAGATAAGTTTAAGAAGAAGACAAAGGTAAAGGTGTTGAAGAATCCAGAAGATTAGAATTTGAGAGAACATAAAGAGTGGACGCAAACGATTTCGAGCCATGTCATTCAAAGTCCTGTGCTATTACGCTTATGAAGGCGGATATCACTTCCCGGTTGCCCAACCCAACGGGAAGTTGCTTCTTGAGAAATCCGGTAAGGAATTTAGGTTAGTGTTGGTCTTGGCAAACTGCTTGGGTGACCACAGAGCCCAAGAGACAACTGCTTCAGGCCAGTCACGCTCTTGTTTAAGAGACCTTTTCGCTGGAGACGGAAATCCCCGAGATAAGGTGAGGTTCGACACTTTCAGTCTAAACCTTTCCTAACTCCTTCCTTCCATTGTGAGAAGGCAGCATCACTGCAGATGTTGGTTGTCCGAGGGAAACACCTTACTGCTAATGTCACATCTCTCTACAGTCATCAGTACAACTTCGCCCTCAAAACCTAGAGTAGCCGCTTTTAGTCTCACCATTCTTTAATGGACACGCCTAGCATCGTAGAACCTTCAGGAACAAATTTTCCAGCCAATATAACTCGGTTGGGTCATCGCGTTGGGCAAGTCCGACAACCATGTCAAGGTGGCAGTTACGGTCGGGCTGAAATATATGCTCACTTTCAACCTTGACAAAAAAACATCAAATCTGTATCCAACGCAACTCATACTCATTAAAAAAAATTCACAACCTACTCAAACGCATTATACTACTTATATATTTTCATCTTTTCTAATTTATTATATAGCAACATCATGAAACCATTGAAGCATATCGTACAGCCGTTGCTATAGCAATGGCCACTGGTACTGCACTGCCACGACCTCCGCCAATGTCATCTACAACTGCTGTTGTCAGTGGTCCATTATCAAATCCTATCACAATACCTCAACCGATGACTACTACGCCGAGTGCATCGAATCATCACCCTACATCAGTTCCTTTGCCATCCTCTTCAACATCAGCATCCTCTGCATCGTGTTCTCCGTCTTCCACTTCCATCTCCAACTGTTCTCCTTCTTCTTCCTCCTCCTCATCATCATCAACGTCAGTGAATAGACTAACAAAACATCCAATCAACAATCAACACGCATTGATGACAACTCCACTCTCGTTACCATGGTTACCGGATCAGTTCCATTCACATTATTCCATTCAAAATCATTTTCATTCAACGAATAGCAACAGCAACAACAATCCATTTGATTTAATGTTATTAGATAAAGGCAAAGAAAATTATCTCATTAGTAATCATACTACTGATATTAATCATCTTGACAGTAGTAGTAGTATAAGTAGTAGTAGTCAACAAATAGAATCACTTAAATTATCTTCATTCAATCATGTGGACACATCAAAATGTATTGATTTGAGTAGTAATAGTACACAACAGCATCACAATCGTCATGTCGTGGTTACTAAGGAGACAGTGAATATCAATAACGCTGATTATGAGGATGACGACAATGAAGTGGATGTCACTGTTCAGTCGTTAGTCATCCGAACAGATGATGACATTGACAATAGTCATCAGACAAATGAAGATTTACAAAATTCTTATCACCATGACAATTATAAATCGATATCATTGACCAGATCAACAGCAACAATTACCACTACTGGCACTACTAACACTACTACTAATTTAAGTAGTATCACAAATGAAACATTTTTGAATAGAAAAGATTTTTATCTTGACTACACTAATAGTAATAATAATAATAAATTTTTGTCTGTTGCTAACTGTTTGTAAAAACTTAGGAACGAACAAACACAAACCATACCCAATAGAGAAATCTCCTCCTCCCGCCAACCCCCAACCACCTCCTCCGCAGTTACCTTCATCATCCTCATCAGTTGTACTACTACTACTACTACTACTACTTACTATACTTGGTTTTCTGTTTTCTTTATAGTTTGATGATATAATTTTATTCCCTTTTCATTCTGATCAATTTTACTTGTCGAAAATGACAACCGTGTTTTACTTGAAAACTGTTTCGTTCATTCACTCACTGATTCATTGATTCAATCCTTCCATGGTTCATTTTTAATTATCGATTGAAAAATGGATTCCCCCCCCCACACACACAAATACATAGACAGACATATTTCATTCCCGATGGTCATCATCATCAGCAGTGGTGATGGTGTCGGAGCGGAACTGTTGACATTGACACTGTCCCTCCTGATGTTGTGAGTCAGTCAATGATCGAAGATGTGTTTGATAGTTAGTTGTGTAATTGAAAAACTGTTTGACCATATATTGTATGTTTCTTTTTCCTATATATATGTGTGTGTGTGTGTCGACTACCAATCGCACCCCACACTCGCAACTACTGTATAAAAGTATCATGTAGATGAATATAGTTTAATGATTTAAACAAGAGTAATTATAATAATAATAATAATAATAATCGTAAAATTAAAACAATCGTTTTGAATTGAACATTGAATCGGTTTCAAATTTGTGGGGTTTTAATGATATGGTGAGTGTGACAGACTGATTTTGAGAATAGTTTGAATGTTAGATTTTGATTGGTCAGAAAGTTGAAGGTCATTTTCAAATGAACATTGAATCGGGTTCGTATTTGTGGGGTTTTAATGATGTGGTGAGTGTGACAGATTCGTTTTGAGAGAATATTTTGGATGTTAGAATTGATTAGTAAGAAAGTTGAAGGTCGTTTCCCATTGAACATTGAATCGGTTTCGCATTTGTGGGGTTTTAATGACACTGATCATGAGGATGACGACAATGAAGTGGATGTCATTGTCCAGTCGTCAGTCATCCGAACAGATGACACTGACAACAATCCATTAACTAGTTGTCATCAGACAAACGAAGATTTACACAATCCTTATCACCATGACAACTATAAATCGTAAAATTAAAACAATGTTTTTGAATTGAACATTGAATTGGTTTCGCATTTGTGGGGTTTTAATGATGTGGTGAGTGTGACAGATTAGTTTTGAATAGTTTGGATGCTAGATTTTGATTGGTCAGAAAGTTGAAGGTCGTTGTCTGTTCAACATTGAATTGGTTTCGCATTTGGTTGTTTTAATGCACTAAAGGTGATCGATATATTTTGATTAGTTTGGATGTTAGAATTGATTGTAGAGAGAGAGAAGAATGTCATATTTCGTTTGATTAAACAGTGTCTGATATCTGATTGCACCTAGTCAGTCAGTCAATCAGTTACAATGTAGAACTACGTACGTACGTACATCAGTTTTCAGGTTGCCATACCACATGAGAACACAGAGACGCAATTGTCAGTTCAAATCTCATAGCGGTAGGAATGGTAGAAGTATTATCAGTAATGGAGAAGATTAGGGTTCGAAAGATATGATTCAAGAAGTATAATTCAGTGAGATAAGGTTAGAAAGACAAAGGTAGATGTGCTGACGAATCCAGAAGATTAGGATTTGAGAGAGCACAATGAATGGATGCATTTGCGCCATTGCAAACGATTTTGAGCCATGTCATTCAAGGTCTCTAACCATTGATGACTTTCGTCTCGCGGACCCCAACCAGGTAGCCCACATCTACCAATATGACTCAGTCCACTTGTCAGTGACTTCATGGATTTGTGCCATGTTTTGGTTTGGCCATCCCTAGCTTTCTTCCAACCTAATACTACTCCATACCTACACCACCTCAAACAAATATCAATCAACACCAAGATCAGAATTTTCAATACAAATGTCAAGACACTTCTACTGTATGTAGCGGAAACTTAGAGAACTACCAAAGCCATCATCCAGAAGATACAAGTATTCATTAACAGTTATCTACGCAAAATACTTCGGATTCGTTGGCCAGACACTATCAGCAACAACCTACTGTGGGAGAGAACAAACCAGATTCCAGTGGAAGAGGAAATTAGGAAGAAGCGACGGAAGTGCATAGGACACACACTTCGGAAAGCACCGAACTGCGTCACAAGACAAGCCCTCAATTAGAACCCTCAAGGCGAAAGGAAAAGAGGAAGGCCAAGGAACACATTACGTAGAGAAATAGAGAAAGATATGAGAAGAATGAACAAAAATTGGACAGAACTGGAAAAGGAAGCCCAGGACAGAGTTGGTTGGAGAAAACTGGTCTGCAGCCTATGCCTCATTGGGGGTAACAGGCATTAACGCTTCGTATTACATCGTTATCTGTAATAATAATAGTGATCTGAGACGAGTAGTCATAAGAAGTTTTTTGGTAATTCTATTGAATACCAACCGCCACAGATGAGTATGTGTCATTGGTCAAGAAAGGACTACTTTTTCTAGGGGGGGGGGGAGGAGTGAGTATATATATATATATATTTTGGTAGCCAAAAAAACTTTCTATTCCTCTAATACTTTTTTTAAAAATCAAATAACCAGTTTGGCGGGGTGGGTGTAGGATCCAATCCTGAGTTTTAGACTGAGGAATAACTGTCTCTAGGTCGTTTAGATAGACGCCATTGCCCAGTTGGAATCCAGAACAAAGTGATTTGGGTAAATAACGGCTCTAATAGTCATCATAAATATAAATTTACATCATTACACCTAAACAAATGTTATCACTCAGTTATTCCACCCAACAATTGTTCAATTATTCAAATCAACAGGAACAAATAAATGTTATTCTATCCCTCCTCCTGGATAGATCAGATTCGTTCGAAAGATAATATTTGGAGGTTTTGTGTTTTTTTACACATTTGAAATCATCAATCAGTCATTGTTAGACAGAGCACCATTAGACACTTGGAAGCACTGCAGGACAGCCGTCAAGTCCTGGTATTGGACTCCTCAGCAGTGCGCATCCACGACTCCTGCACCTCGTAGTATTCGAACCCGGGACCTTCGGTATTGTGCGCAAACGCCTAATGTGTAAAAACACAAAACTTCCAAAACTCTGCTTAAAAAATATCTTAACAGTGCTCACTAGTAGTAACCAGCTTGGTGAGGAGAAGACGTGACCAATGCAGTTCAACCCTGTCGAGTGTAGGCAGTAACTACCAAAGACAAATGGATGAGGTCGCGCAAAATCCCTTGATCAATCAGAGTTAGACATTAACATCGTTGGATTCCGGCTCAGTGATCCGATGGTTAGGCGTTCGCGCACAATAACCGAATCTAGCGAGGTGCAGAAGTCGTGGATGCGCACTGCTGAGGAGTCCAATACAAGGACTTGACGGCCGTCCTGCAGTGCTTCCAAGTGTCTAATGGTGCTCTGTCTAACAATGACTGATTGATGATTTCATATAATATTTCGTTGCTTTATAATCCATAGTGTTTCCTATTCTGGAAGACTGCTTCAATTCACAATCAAAATACACAATTCCAGTCCACAGAAAGCAATCCAAATAAAAAGAGGAACAAATCAATATGGCTGACGTCATGACTAGGTATCAACTTAAACCACATAAATACAGTTCAGAAAGAAACATAGAAACTCAATGAAGGCACAACAGATAGAAACTATCATAAAATAGAAATATTATCTTCTCAAAAATTAGAATCGAACAGATTAACAAAATGTACAACTGAAGGGACAAACAAATTACAGATGTATATCCAACATGGAGGAATTTTCCCTAAACAAAAAAAATGGAATTTAGAGCGGTAACTTCAAATATTTTTGAAACCATGAATCGTTAAATCAATGTTAGACCACCATTAGAAACCTGGAAGCATTGCAGGACGGCCGTTTCATCCTCTGGTATAGGACTACTCATCAGTGGCATTGGGCATCCACGACTCCTGAACCCCGAATTATTCGAGCCCAGGACATTCGGTATTGTGCGCGAACGCCTTAACCGTTAGACCACTGAGCTGGTATCTAACGGTGTTAATGTCTAACTTAATCAATTCACGGAGTTGCGCAACCTCATACACCACAGTCTTCGGTAGTGGTGACTGTCTACACCCGAACAGGTTGAACTTCACTGGTCACGACGTCTTCCCATTAGAACTTGGAGAAGATTCCTCACGAAGCTAGTCACACTAGTGAGCACAGGTAATTTGCATTACAGGGTTGTTGTGAAGATTGTTAAGTTACTAATGGTAGTCTAACATTGATTTAACGATTCATGGTTTCAAAAATGTGTAACTTAACAATCTTCACAACCCCGTAATGCAAACTTCAAATATGTCACATTCAAATTTTTAAAAAAAACCGCCATATTACTTCCTATTAAAACAAATTAAAATGGAATCTTCTTGTTTTTTTTCATTTTCATTTTTAACTTGAATTAATTTATCACAACATTATTACTATTATTATTATTATTACTATTATCCTTATCATCATCAACTTGTTTTAGATATATTTTTATTTGAAACATTGAACAAATGACCTTGACAAAAAAACACTTTGAACTATTAATATGCCGAACAAATTAAAACAACAACAACGAATAGAAAAAAACTATTCACACCAAAAAAAGAGATGAAATTTAAATTTTTTTTATGAATATTAATTATTTAAATTAATAAATATAAATGAATATTTTTTTCTGTTTTTAAAAAAAATAACGAAAAAGTATAAAAATTGAAATTCGTTGTTTTAAACAAAAAAAATTCTTAAATAAAATGAGGTTATAATGATGATGATGATAACAAGTGTTATGTTGTCTTTTATTTGTTTAAAACAACGAGAGAAAAATAAAATAAAATAAATGAAAATTGAACTATTGAACATTGATCAATGAATGTTATTATTATAAGTAGCATTGTTTTAATCATTAAAATAAAATTACTATTTTTAATAAATTTTATTCAAAAAGAATGTAAATGCATTGGTACGTGAATATATGTACTTAATGTACGTGTATCAGTTCAAGTTGTTATAGTAGTACATTAGTGTATACATAGAGAAAGATGGAATTGTCACGTCAAATGCCATAGTAGTAGCAGTAGTGTGGTGTGAGCTACTTATAAGTAGTATATGACGTGAGTGTTAACGTATTGTCTGGCAGCAGAAGAGGATGGGGGAAGATCAAGAAAGGAAGAGTTAGAAGAACACAATGGAATTTGTATGAAACGCATGAATAGTAGTGACAATGGATTGATGTTTTGCAACAGGAACAGTCCAGTTCGATATGATGGATTGATATTTCGGCAAATTAACGATTTACGATATGGTTTTCCGATTTTACTGAGTAACTCTGTAATTTTCGTTAAGTAAAATTCAATTGCTTAGCTTCCTGGGGGAGTTTGAGGCCGCGGTGGAGCTGGTGGGTGTGAAGGGGCCTGGGGCGGAGTTGGCGTTGCTGGGGACGCTGCGTGGAGGTGAGGCGAAGGCGGTATACGACAGCCTGGACGGTGCCGCCGGGAAGACGGCGTGGAGACGGTCACCGAGCGGCTGATAATGGAGTTCGACAGCCCGGTGGACAGGGAGGAGGCGCCGCAGATATTCTGGTTGGCGAGGCTGTCGGCTGATGGTGACCCGTTGGTGCTGGCTGTGGAGCTCACGATATTGCTGCGCTGTGCACTGCCGAGTATGGATGGGGAGTAGAGGGCATAGTTGTTGGCGTCGCAATTTATCGAGAGTGTGCCTGCCGCCGTATTCCAGCAGCGGGAACTAGTAAACGCTACACGTTGGATAGATGCCGTACCCATTCCAGACCAGCGGGCAAGAACAATAACCGAAGTGATAATCCGGCATATTATAGCGTGTCACAGAATACGGAAGGTGATATTAACTGACCAGAGTTTAAAGCCCGTCTAAAGCAGTTTGGCATCAAGAGGATACGAACTACACCGTATCATCCGCAGATAAACCGGCTTACGGAGAGAAGACAAGCAGAAGCGCGTAATGGTAGTCAACTGATGCACACAGACATTAAGTACACATATAAAGTTCTGCTTGGTAGTTGACCAAATGACTATGCAGTTGTATTCAT